GAATCGATAAAAGTAATAGAAAATTCTAAAAACTAATATTGTATCCGTAATCAGCATGCTCACTTACCTCTGTGCCAACTCCCAACCCCGTATGTCAAACTATGTAAAAGTCGATAAGGTCGATATCGATTGAAAACGCGAAGTATATGTGTGCCAAATTTAGTCCGGATCGCTTCAGGAATGGAATTTTCCATTCCGAACATACGTACACACATTCCAATTAGCCGTCATCGCCTTTACTTATCTAATTTTGTGTAGTTGCAATCACCGACCTTTCAATCACTATAGGCAGTCTACAGTAAAGACTACTGCATGGCGAAGGCACGGAAGCAATTTCAGTTAAGCGGTCGCGAACGCGACCCGCGCGTATCTTCGCCGTTGTAAACCCTGCGCTTTATGCGCTCTGCGGCTAATGAAGCCGCGTTCGCGCTTAAATATTGCGCTTAGGTCATGCAGTAGCCTACTGCCTGAGATTGACCGTATCGCTGAATGCAAGCGAGCTTAGCTGGCGCGGGCGCAACGGGCCAGCCAGCTTTGCAGGTGCGTGAAAACGGGCTTACAGTCTATAGTGATATGATCAATTCCAAGAACAGTCGACTTTGTCGCAATTTTGCTAATTATATCTCGAGATGAGAAAGTGCATGCTGCTTGTGTTATAGCTGTGGTACTCAGAAGTAGGAATTATGAAATAGGCATTCGCTTGGTCAGATATCTCACAAAAAACCTAGAACCATGGGATGGAGCGCTCGGCTCAGTTTGCGGTTGGTGGTGCATTATTTGATTTCGCAAGTGGAGTCATGCCACTATTGAGCGGTATTCACTTGTCTCTAGCCGTCAACACTACTCAGTGATTTGTACGCTTTTACTTTCTGCGACGCGGTTTTGTCAAAAATATTGGAAGTAAGTCATTTCTGAAGCAACACTGTCAGTATTGTTAGACATCACTCAAATTTTTTTTTAAAATTAACAACTTGACAGCTTGTAACATGTTCGGAACTGTTTAATCAAGATTTAAAAGTCGTCTAATGGCGGCTACTTTTCCTTTGCGCTCTTTTTTTCTTGAAGGATCGCCTTTAAGCTCTTAGGATAGAGTCCAGGTCTTCCTCCCTCGCTCCCATGTTAGCTCCAGTGTGGCTGGTGGGACTGATGTGCTGCTGGTCTCGGTGGCCGCGGTGGTTTGGGCGGTGAGCATCTGCAACACCAGATTTTATATCTTCAAAATTATCCCCATAAACCCACCTTCCCTTTGCTGGTGGAAGGTCTTTGACCTCGTTGTGGTGCTGACGACCGCCCCTCAACGGATTTTTTTTGGGCCTCGACTCCCCCAATAGCTTGCATATTTTTCATCGGTTGATCAAGTGTCCTCGTAATGTGTGGGGCGCATTTGAACAAATCGTTAACGGGGCCCGGACGGTCTCCATCGCGAATTGGAGTGAGGCAACGCTCTGAGCCCGCGGCCCTATGGACCCGCAAGGGTAAGGCCAAGGGGCGGCGGCGTGCTCTGATTGCTTGCCTTGTTATCAGGGCTTGCGCTTCAGAACCTTTGGATTCGGTCGTCGCGCTTGAAAATGGGGTGAGGGATTTTGAGAAATTTTGTTATTCAAAGCTTTCGATTACCCGAAACGATTTGGGAAAGTACGGGATTGTTTAAGTGGTTCGAGGACTTGTGGAATCCTGCATGTGTATTTCACAAATTTACCCACTTGCGATCATGCAGAGCCCTGTAACTTCACTTTCCGATAGGCAGCGTTTCAATTGATGGTGCCCGACATATCCAAAGTACGACCAAGCGCCAAGCCCCTTAGTTAGCCTGCGACACTCGCCCCGCCCCAAGATGTGTGTGCCAAGTTAGGTCCGGATCAGTTCAGATATAAAAGTTTCTATTCGTAACATACATACACATACAGACATACAAACATACATACATACATACAGAGAAACAGACATTTAGCTCTATATATTAGGTTGAACCGAAAGTTCTGTCGCACCATTTTCAAAAAATCATAACTTCTTTCCCTCACCACGATTTTGCGCCATTTAAATTTTTTTCTGAAAGCGTAAAGCATATAGTTTCCAAAAATCCCTTGGGGACTTTACAACATGCTCAGGTTGCAGAGATAAAAATAAAAGAACGGGATCATCCGAAATTCGGAGTTTTTAAGCAAAAATTCTAAAAATCTGGAAACTGTGCGATAAAATCCAGAACAGCCATCATTCTGAGTTTTCTTATATTTAATTACTAACTGAGTCAAGTCTTCTTTGCTGATCGAGCTCTTCTTTAAAAAGTTATGATTTTTTGAAAAAAAAATGCCGAAAAATCGATTTCTTAAGAATTGGTAGGATTTTGATTTTTCGGCACTTTTTTTTCAAAAAAATAACTTCTGAAAGAAGACCTCGATCAACACACTTGACTCAGTTAGTAATAAAATATAAGAAAACTTAGGATGATGGCTGTTCTAGATTTTATCGCACAGTTTCTAGATTTTTAGGATTTTTGCTTAAAAATTCCGAATTTCGAATGATTTCGTTCTTTCATTTTTATCTCTGCAACCTGAGCATGTTGGAAAGTCCCCAAGCGACTTTTGGAAACAACATGCTTTACGCTTTTAGACAAAATTTGATTTGTGCAAAATCGTGGTGACGAAAAGAAGTTATGATTTTTTGAAAATGGTGCGACAGAACTTTCGGTTCAACCTAATATAAAAATAAAAAATTCAAAATTTTGAAAGGTAACAGAAGGAGCGAAGAAATGGTCCATTTTATCTTGCAATTTTCTGTTTTGTAGAAAATATTTGGTGTAGTGACGGTTTGTGGCTACGCGCCATAGACATTTTTCGCCAAGCATTTCTTGTAGTAAAAGTTACAATTTGCCTAAGAAGAGCTTGTTAAAACAACTTTTTCTTGTTTTTCGATCTCACTAAATCGTCAGCTGCTGCTACTGATACCAACGGATATGCATTGTGTAGGTCCAGGGCTACTGATTACGGTGGTTTTTATCGCATCTTAAAAAATAGGTTTTGGCGGAATGGTGAGGCTTTAGAGTGAAACATTGCGAAGCCTGCATCAATTTCCGTACAACATTGCTAATGTATTGTACTGTTGCTGTTGGAAGCTCATCTAAATCTTTGTTAGAAACTTAGATTCCGAATCATCCACCAGTTTCCAATACATCTTTAGTTGCGCCTAGTATGCACATAGAGTTTCTGGAGCTGTAGGTGGGAGATTTTTAAGAGGTGTGTTAATGGTGGGAATGTTTTGAAGGGCAACATCCACTCTTAGGCCCGTATGCACGTACATCCCCGCTGGGGAGGAGAGGGGATCTGAGAGGGGATGCGTCATATCTCGCTACTTTACGTATCTTTCTTCTTCCTTTTCTATCTTGCTTATAAAGGTTCTCATACCCTACCACCTGCGCATAATCGATGCCAGGTTACAGGCATAACTGATTAGATTTGTACTATTTTGTGTGATCCCCTGGGGATCCCCAGGGGATCCCCAGGGGATCACCAGGGGATCACCTCTCATTTTCAAAGTCATTTATCTTCCTGAGAAATCAATAAAAACGCCGCAAAATTGTACTGAGGACATACTACGCACTGCTAAGCATGTTCAAAGTAAAAATAAGTGAAATCTCAGGACATCGAAATCTTCGTTAATCCCTGGCTCAAAAGCTAGGGATCATCGAAAAATTCACAATCTTCAGATTCCATTTTTTCTGTCGAAAACATGCTTAGCAGTGCCGTAGTATATCCTCAGTACAATTTTGCGGCGTTTCCATTGATTTCTCAGAAAGATAAATGACTTTGAAAATGAGAGGTGATCCCCTGGGGATCCCCTGGGGATCCCCAGGGGATCACACAAAATAGTACAAATCTAATCAGTAATGCCAGTAACCGGGCATCAATTATGCGCAGGTAGTAGGGTATGAGAACCTTCATAAGCAAGATAGAAAAGGAAGAAGAAAGATACGTAAAGTAACAAGATATGGCGCATCCCCTCTCAGATCCCCTCCCCTCCCCAGCGGGGATGTACGTGCATACGGGCCTCAATTCTTCTTTTTGGTTTGGTTGTTTCTGCGCGGTTCCGGTACCAATAAGCATCGATAGATTGTGTTTTCTCTTTTTAGCTACATGTGACTCAGATCGTGCGGAATTGGGACCCTTCATACTCTGCGAAACCTTGTTCATCACTAACACTTATCATCTTTATCATGCAGATGTTTGAGATACGCTCATTGTCGGCTCTAGTTTTACCATACAACATTTTTTGCCTTTTCAGTGTAACTTAACAACACGATTTGCACTTGCATACGATTATTTATAGCTTAGTCTATCTCGCTCAAAGCTGAAAGGATGTCTTATCTACCAGAAGTACTATGACGATGCATTGTGGATCATCGTTCTTTTCACTGACCTCTGTGATTGAACAGTTTCAAATTTTCTTCTGCATAGACTTCATCATAATTTTCGTTTTCCGAAGTATAAAACAACCATCATTATTTCGAGCTACAATTGAATTACGCTCAAGTTGAAAGTTGCGAAACGCACAGAAAATGAGCGTTCTGGCGCTTTCTGGTGCTTTTGAGGCTTTTCGGCGAAGCCTGACGGTCCTTTAGAGTATTACCACACTCCATCTGTTCTCCGGCACTCCGGAAACAATTGGCTTATGAGCTTTACGCGGGTTGAATGCACTTTGCCAGCAATCTAACTTTTTTTGCTGGGCAAGAACACCGATGATCACTCAGTGTTATTGTAAGTGAAGAAAGAACAAGCTATGAGACAAGCGCGAAAGTGCTACGGCCAAGGTGGAAAAGAAGTTTGGCTTTGGTGTTTAGGACGGCGCGGTGGGGAGGCGAGAGTAGGAACTCATCAAAGGCCAACTGGTGCTGCGCGATTCGCAACTTTCAAAATTATCTTGTTGCGTTTTGAACACTTTAATTAATGACATGTTTCCATAAGACGATCATTACTGCTTCACCTGCTATGAAGATTATTTTGCAGGTACTACACGGAAAACTTTTTCGATCCAATCGCAACTGTGGCTGGAGTGGTGCAAACTGTGCTATATGCGGATTTCTTCTATCTGTATGTAACACGTGTTGTCAGAACCCGCAAGGCCATGGAGCTTCCCATCTAATGGGAGTTGCCTATCCTACCGAGCATTCAGATTGCATAGACCACCGATACTACCATGGCTTGCAGTTAAAGTATAAGTTTTCTTACGAAATAAGTTATTTTCAAAGTCTATTAACAGAAACAGATCGTTTAAATATACAAATGAAGATGAAATTCTATTGTCTTATCGCTGGCTATGGTGTGAAGTGCAATTCCTTTGCTTGCATGTGTACCCGACGTTGTATCTGATCACGTGTTTTTTTATTGAGGTTTTGTTTGATTATTTTATTTTGGTGGGGCTCCTGCGTCTTACGATCTTTCTTCTATCGTTGTATCAGTGGTGGTGTTTATAATAGTTAGCGTATTAAATTGTTGTTCGATTTATCTTGATGCAGTTATCGCTGTTGCTGATCATGTCTGTAAACTTTTTAGACATCAGTTTGCTTCACGAATGTTCACCGCGATGCGATACACGCGCATCCACTGTAGTTGAGCGAGTGGTTGTAGTTGTATCCATTATGGATATATTTTTTACATGCCACCAGTAATACCACTAATAGCGGATTCTCTCTGCAAAAGATAGATTTAGTGAGTTCGTGTGTAGACTTAGCTTCATTGTAGATCAAAGACACAAACTGTATGAGATCAAACTACCCATGCCAACCCTGTATCGGTCATTGCAAACATTCCTAATTCCGTGTTCTTATCTAATTCCGCTTCTAACAAGGGAACGATACTTAGTGTCCGTGGCTGAATCAAAATGTACACCATTGCACTTGTCTTCGACTTATGCCGAATCTGACTTCCTTTTCTGCTAAATTTCTCCGAATTTGGACATTCGTGGTTAAGTTCCGCAGGAGATCCGCACATAAAATAAGAATTCGCGAGAAAATCGGTAGTCTTGCTCGACACCAGGATTTGTCCCGACTTTCGGGATTGTCCCGACAGTAAAAAATTGAGCGGGAGATTATCGGTATACGCGATATTGGGGTACGTGGGCCGGCTGTTCCCAGTGTCTGAGCGTAAAGGATACTTGCTGAAATACGACGCATGGTCAGACTACCCTCAATGTCCACAACTGTGGATGTTCCAATCTCTCATGCGACAACAGGGTCAGTATGTTGTCCCATAGACGGACAACCCCCGATGGGATCCCGGCGCCCAGGGCGGGAATCCCGCCGGCGACCGGACTGCGATATCACCGGGTCTCCCGCAAGAACTCCTGGTGCTCCCAGCAGAAAACATCCCGAAATAACCGCATGTGTCGCGAAGCATTATCCCGAATGAAATGCAGGAGTCTCGGTTCTCTCGTGAATCATTTTATTACTTGTGTCCCGTAGTCATTTCATCGGGACACACTTTTCACCGGCGGGACTGAACCGCGAATGTCTGAGAAGGAAGTTATGAAGGATTTTCGTGCCAAACTTGGCCGCCGAGATATGATAGGAACACCAGCTACCACTGGTAGCTGTGGTGTAGTGGCTAATGCGATAGCCTCACAAGTTGATGCAGGTGGAGGTTCAGCTCCTTTTGTTTTTTTTCGTTCTGCATTGCCTCATTGAGCTTCTTTGTGAGAGTTAGGTTTCCTCAAGGTAAGTGCGTGTCCTTACTCTTTGAAAATTCAACGACGAGTCATTTTTTATGAGTGTTTTCTATATTTATTCCAAAAGGTGCCTAAAAAATGAAAATGAACGGAAAATGAATGCAGTCAACATGTTACCACGTTGGTGTTGTTATCATATTTGTTTCGCACGGCCAAACTTGGCGCGAAAATCTTTCATAACTTCTTACGGAGAAACGATTAGCAGAAACGGAAGCTTTATTCGGAATCAGCGTTTGAAGACGAGTGTAATGGCTTACACTTCATCTCAAAAGGCCATGGACTAAGTATCGCTCCCGTGTAAGTACGATAGAGTTTTCGAGTAAGGCATCGTTTATCTTGTAAGAATCATGGACCATACAAACCGAACACGCTGAGTTTTGGCTGCAAACCCAGCGCGCATTGATTCTAAATACTCAAGCGCATGGCTTTCGCAGGCTGGAAACATGTAGATTTTTTTCTGTACTAAGTGAGTCCACAAAGAATAGAGAGTGATCTCAGTTAGCCAAATCGCGTTGCGATTGAAATCGAGATACGACCGAGGCCTGACGCAAACACTGGCAGCGAAATCCCGGTGACAAGGTGGTCACGGCGACTTTTGACCAGGTGACATTCCGGTTGTCCTGGTGACTTTTTACACGTGTGCAATAAAAAGTTTTGTAATTAGCAGACCTTTGACAACTCAGCATGCGTTATTGTGTTGTTGTAGCTTCACCGAGGAGAATCTTATGGCTCGAACTTTGAGAAACATTCTTGGAAAACTTTCTCTTTGAAAAACCATAGCTTTCTTTCAAATTCAGTACGATGGCGCAGCAATTGTGTAGCCTGTAGTCGGTTGTGCTGCCAGAAGATGTTTGAAAAAGTTTGAAAGCACTCATTTTTTTGATTTTTTTAACACCTTGACGACGGAGCCATTTTTGACCACATCAAAATGGACTGGCGATCTACGGCTGCGGTTTGGACTAATAAACAGCTACCGCAATGCTGTGTGTTCTATATGACAACCAGGCAACCAGCGTTATCACTGCATAGAAGTTACCTGAGAAACTTTCGTTTACACATGATAAATTGATGCACGAAAGTGCTAAAAGGTGGTCTAGGCGTGCGTACGCGCGGATGCACATGGTCGTCAACGTGTTAAGGAGGTGAAAAAGTGTCTTTTTCGTTTTTCGAAGCTGAAAAAGAAGGACGGCACCCAGTTTTTGCAGTCTAAATATACTAAGTCTATTCTTTTGATGCACATCGGAAGCTCCGCGATCGCGTCGTGCGGATTATATAAGGCAAACGGACCGCGGCAACCGTCAAATTTTGCTTTGAAATTTCTCGCCACAAAAACTTATACAATCTATGAATGATTACGCATTTTGTAGCATAACTCACTCAAAAGCACTGTTTTGGTCTGCAGAAAATTTCGATGTTCGTTGCAGTTTTGAAGCCAAGATTATCAAAAGAGAAATTTCAAGATTTGGTCTCTTAAAGGGGCAGAATTTCTAAATGGATCCACTTCCATTGAAACGAGAAAATGCTTGAGATATTTGAAGAAGATAGCCTTTAAATGATACGTGAAAGTCTCCACAAAAATGGTTTTCGGTTTTCTAAACAGCCCAGAAAAGCTTGACGAAAAATTTGCAATAATTCTGTTACAACCTAATACAATAGAAGATACGACTGATTGTGATAGGTCGAACTACGTAAGCAAAACATTTCAAGTGACTGAAGTGGCGAACAGAAGGATGATTGGTAAGCAGCTCGCTGAGACAAACTTTCTGCCTTATTAATACTACCGTGGTTCTGATAGAATAGTGGCCCGTTCATCACAAGCTGTGGGTGGTAGTCCGCTAAATTGACTGAGAATGACCCTCAAGGCAGTGACAAAATCTCGTCTTAAGAATTTCTTCCTTTTCGGAGCCTTCTCGCCATGCTGCATATTCAGACTGTGCGGAAAATGGCAAAAATGAGCTTTTTCGAAGGTCTATCCACACTCTTTGCAAAATGCGTGTAATGTTCGGGGGCCAGAACGAAGGAGCGGGGTCCTTCAAGACGCACTTCTTCCGTTCAGACTTCACTGGTAGATTAGTTGGGGAGCAAACCACTGCAACACTTCAAAATCCCGGTACCCATCGCTTTGCCGGGACGCTGCCTCCAACTAAGGCTCGTATGCACGTACATCCCGTTGGGGTGCGGGAACTTACCTACCCGAGAGACTTGCCGCAGCGTACCCTAGGTATCATGAGCAATCAGATACGCAGTTAGCATAGTGTACAGAGCCTAGTCTGTGTGTATTCTAAGCCCCGCCCCCATCCATCGACTCTTTCGCGGTGCATCCATCAATCATGAAACCGGGAATTCGATAGAATCACAAAATTGATGTTCAGCAACTATTTGCTCGATTTCGATTGAAATGCGGTTTTAGGGGTTTTCTGAGGCGTTCTTTTCAAATATGCTATTGGTTTTGCGCTGTCTTTTCCTACAGGAGCCGAAATTTGGCTTTGGTGAATGACTCTTAGCTTATGAAATCTCGACAAAAAAACAAAGCACGTCTTAATACGCATGTAAAACTGCTTTTTCACTGTTTTTCTCGGAACGTTAGGCAGGGTTCATACTGAGCCGCACAGAGCAGCACAGTTCCAGCACAGCGCTCGAACTGTGCTCGAACTGTGCCCGAACTGTGCTGCATGCGCAGTTGGAGTATCTTGACCGTTTCTGACGGTTTTTCTTCTAGGTTTCGGTCATTTCGGGGCTTATTCCTCCACCCCGTTTTTCCTTTTGGCGGGGTTGAGGAATAAACGCTGTTTTGCTTTGTGTGTCCCGTGCGTGTTGTTCCGCTCGTTCAAGCCTCTTCGTTTTATCCTGCATAAAAGTATTCCATTTGTTTCCAGGAGGCCGCTGCAATATTTTCGCAGGCATTTTTCTTGGAGAAGAGCAAAAATAATGCAGAAGAGCAGGAAAGTCCATCAATCTGTTGGCCACTATTAAGCTCCTAGCCCCTTTTCGTTTTTATTTCATTGTTTTTTCGTTCTTTGTTACCCCGCTTCCCTTTTTGTTGTGTAGCGCTTCGAACTTGAAGCGGGGTAAACCAACGAACGCGGTTGTACTCCATGTATCCTGGGTAGAAGAAAGAGCGAAAAAGCAATGAAATGAAAAGAACGTGGCTGAGAGGATACATGAAGCACAACCGCGTTCGTTGGTTTACCCCGCTTCAAGTTCGAAGCGCTACACAACAAAAAGGGAAGCGGGGTAACAAAGAACGAAAAAGCAATGAAAAATAATGGCCAACAGATTGATGGACTTTCCTGCTCTTCTGCACTATTTTTGCTCTCCTTCAAGAAAAATGCCTGCGAAATTATTGCAGCGGCCTCCTGGAAAAAAATGGAATACTTTTATGCAAGGATAAAACGAAGAGACATGAACGAGCGGAACAACACGCACAATCGGACACACAAAACAAAACAGCGCTTATTCCTCAACCCCGCTCTGCGCTCGGAGTTCTACTCATCAAAAGGAAAAGCGGGGTGGAGGAATAAGGTCCGAAATGAGCGAAACCTAGAAGAAAAACCGTCAGAAACGGTCAGAATACTCCAACTGCGCATGCAGCACAGTTCGGGCACAGTTCGAGCGCTGTGCTTGAACTGTGCCGCTTTGTGCGGCTCAGTATGAACTCTGCCTTAGAAGAA